AGAACCTGAAATAGGAAATTGTTACTGTTGTTGTTAAAGTTGTGTCCATAGTGTTGGGTTGATTAATACTCCTTATTTTTTGCATATGCCAGTGCTCTCCCATTTCCAGTGCGGGGCAAGCGGGTTTACTCACTTGAAGAGGAAGATGAGTGATAGGACAGATTGGTGTTGGTGCATTAAAGCCAACACCCTGCAAGAGCAGATACACACTGGGGCAAGTGTGGTTCCTTCTGAGGGTCCTTTCTCATTACCTTGACAGGACTCATTTCCTTTTCAAGCACCCCAGCAACTATGTTGCACAACCTGGGAATGAGGATATAAAAACTTAAAATTTTAAGGTATTCTTGCAWTTGTTCACCTTCCTGTGTTGGATGCCTGCACAGTACTGGTGTAGGGCCAAAACAGACATGGCCACACTCAGAGTCTCTCAGCAGAATATAGAGAGAAGGCTCATTTATTTGTCCCTGCTGTCTGCAAAGAAGATATGGAAAAGCAGTGATGTTCCACATTTTTAAAGATGTATAAATGACACACAGGTAGTCTCGTGATACCAGTTATCACTGTGATGGAGCTTACCTTCACTAAAGCAGTCAGCATTACGTGTTCCTCTGGGAAGCTTCAGTTCTGTGATAGTCCRGGACTGTTGTTTCTTGAGACCATAGCTCCATGTGAGCCAGGGAACTGTAATTCTAGCTTTGGTCATTGCACTATTAATCATGAAAAAAGGGGAAGATCTGGAGTCTTCTCTAGGACAAAAACTGTTGCTTTTTATGCATGTTGAGATGCCTGGAACTCTCAGTTCTCCACCATTGGCAGGGAGGTGTCTCTGATACCTGTTTTCTGTTATTTTTGCCAAGGATGGTGAAGAAAGGAAAAGAGGCTGTTCTGCAGAATTGAAGAGAGCTTTTGGTTATACGTAACCATGCTGGTAAAAGCTCACTGTGCATCTTGCATCCTGTTCTGCAGCTTCTGTTCTCTGAGTCTGCTGATGCATCTACCTAGAAATATCTCACCTTTTATCATCCCACATGTSTAGGTTGGACCTTGGGTGATGCTTTCCCTTTTGAACAGGGACAGGAGGAGTAGGCATTATAACAGTGGCAGCAGTGGGTGGAAACCGTGATTTCAGAGCAGATGCTGTACAGGGATCACCAGCATATGGTGACTGTGGCCCCCGTACATGGAATGACCTGGTGTAATGGAAGTGTTTGTGACGGTGCTGGGGAGCCTCGTGTAACTGCACGGGTGGCGGAGCAGCTCCAAGCGAGGCACAGTCCACACAACGTGCAGTTCGTGCTCCCTTGGCTACTGGAGGGGAAAGAGCTGCGCCTGTTTAGCCTGGAGAAGAGAAGGTTGAGAGRGGATGATGAGAAATCTCATCAATATGGAACAAATACCTCAGAGGAGAATGTAGGGAGGAAGGGATCTCCTCTTCCTGGTGTTGGCCGGTGACAGGACAAGGGGCAATGGGTATATGTTAAAACACAGGCAGTTCCATCTCGATGTGAGGAAGAGCTGCTTCACTGTGAGGGTGACAGAGCCCTGGCACAGGCTGCCCAGGGAGGCTGTGGAGTCTCCTTCTCTGGAGATCTTCCAAACCCGCCTGGATGCTGCCCTGTGCCCCGTGCTCTGGGTGTCCCTGCTGGAGCAGGGGGCTTGGACTAGATGATCTCTGGAGGTCCCTTCCAACCTCAACCATTCTGTGATGCTGTGAGAAGAGCACAGACAGCAGGGCAGTCAGCAGCATCAGGTCTTGCTCCTTGGCACAAGCCACAGAGATGGTATAGACATGCCCAGAATGTTAGGGGATTATTTAATGCATAAATGGAGACAGTTTTTATATTTTTTTCAGATTTTGTATTTTATCAGACTAGCAATGTGGGTAAAGTAGCAGAGAGCAGACTARTGTGGTGGATAGCCCATGTGATTTGTCGTAGTTCAGCACCTCTCTCATCTCCATCTCCGTCATCTCCATCTTCCTTTAAAGAAAAAGTTGTCACTGCCAACTGATGAGTGCTAGGAAATTTCTACAAACATTCTGAGTAGTTGGTGGCTATGAGAAAATGCTCCAAGCTTGGCTTCATATTAAACTGTTGGATTGTTTTTATTTTCTCAAGAAGAATCAGTTCTCAGCTTCTGAACTACTGTGGGCTATTTTGATGTTAAGCATAAAACGGAGTATTAGAATATGAAAGTTTTGAATTTTCGAAACTAGTCTGTAACATATGTTAATACAGTTAGTGACATGTYTTTTTTAGACTGCGCTTTGTCATTTCTCTCTGAAAGGAAATCAAGTGCTGATATTGGTGGATTTAGGGTTTTCTGAGAATGCCACTAAAGGTGCCTGCCAGTATCTGCTGCTGCTTTGATCGTATGGTTTGTCATTATTTTGATGCAGGATGAATTGCTGGTTCTTTTATTTTTTTCAGTGCAATCAGAACTATGCTGTTTTATTAACAGTAGTCTTGGAGTGTGCCAGTTAATTCTTTGGGATTTCTGGGTTTGTTCTGGATTTTTTTTTGGATATACACGTTCAGCTTTGATATCAGCTGTGTTGTCACCACTGCACTGTCACCCCTGTCTGTGGGTTTTGATTTCCTGTGTTGCTGGCTTTTGAGTGCTGTTGTAAATCACAAAAAAAAAAAAGCAAAAGTGCATGTTTTTAAAAAATATGTAAAGAGACATAAGCAGAGATAAAGATCATACATTGAATGATTTGAAGAAGTGCGTTCTTCAAGTAATAGTTTGGTAGACTTCATTGCCATAGATGCTTCAACCAGCATGAGGGCAAAATCAAATTTATTAAATCGTAGGGAACAGGAGAATTCCTTTAAATTTGAAATGTTRCCCACACTCTAGGGCTTGCTGAGGCAGGCCTACTTGGTAATCAAATTGTAACTAAGCATATGCCATTTGAAAAAAACAGTTTTCCTGCTTGTACTGAATAAGCAGTTTGTTGCTGTAGTGGATTGACTTTGCTTTCAAAAAAAGAAGAAGAAAGATTTCAAGCACAAATTTCATTTTCTTCATTTTAATACCCCGCAATTCCTTTAAAAAAAAAAAAATGTGTCAGCCATTAAATGTGATCTTGCAAAATGAAGTAATAGACATACAAGAATTTCTTCCTTCTTCACTTGGTCTAAATACGTGTTGAAGGCAGTGGGCAAGATCATATGACCAATATACAAAATATGTTGAACTCACACCAGGTAGGAAGCAGTGCGGTACTAAGTATTCCACAAAACTCCAAACTCCACAAGAAGCCATCCCTTCTAGCAGCGTGCCTCAAGAATGGCCATCCCAAACAAGAAGGTAAAATACAATTTGATCCTTTAAAAGAAAATTATCCTGAAAGATACCTAGTCACTTTGCAACAAATCTGAAACTGCTCCCAAAGTGAAGTCATTTACAGCAAGTCAGTCAACCCAGAAGAATAAGAGCAGTTAACATGATGAACAGCATAGATGCAGAAATAAATGTATTTGTTTTGTGACATGTTATGATTGTCCTGTGTCTCACCCTCACCTAATCCTTTGTGTTCTGCCAGCACAAATTACCTGCTTCTCTTGCTGTCCTTGGACAGCTGGTGGCTGCATCTGCCCTTGCCGTGCTGGCCTTGCCTCCTGTGCTGCAGTTCGACAGCGCTCCTCTCACGTCATGCAATAGTTGCGGCAGTCGCAAGCTGAACTCGGAGCGGGTGTCTTGAACCCAGGCTTGACTCGTGGCTCCCTGCTGCCTTGCAGTCTGGAAGGCAACCCAGAGCTCCTTAATGTTTTATCGGAGTGTAGCTCCACTGAATCAACCTTATTTTGACTATCCATATCAATGAAATTTTATTACTAATGTGTCCAGAATCTATGGAACCCTCTAGGAACTGTCTTCTTGGAAAAGGCAAGGTAATCAGTGCTTCACACTGATGCAAAATATAGGAATTAAATTTTCCATACAGTTTCACACATATCTTTAGAGTTGTTGTCATGTTTTTTGTTGCAACAACTTTATATAAAGTTGTTGAGTTGATTTAGTTGATAAAGAGTTGATTTGCTTCTTTTCTCTGTAAAAGAGGAGGAGTTAGGGGGAGCTGCATTTGTTTTACTTTATTTGAAATAATGAGCATGATACATATGTAAATAAAGTTAGATAAAAGCATTACCTATAATTCTGCATGTATTTTCATTATAGCCAAATACAGACTGTTGAGTAAACTAAGTTAGCATATTTCAGTTGTATGAAAATGCGTTTTTCTTTGATGGAAATTACTGAAGGTCTGGATAATCTCTGATTGAAACCCACATTCTGTTTAAAATATAATAGAAAATAGTAACAGTAGTGTGATTAGATTAATGCAGCCAATATTAAATGTACTGCTTTAGAATTAAAATAAAGGTATCAACCTGACTTGTTTTAAAGGTAAACAAGGGTGTATGTTCTGTTCTCCTAAAAAAAGTTTCTATAATACGCTATAGCTATATATAATCTATAATAGTCTTTAATAGTATACATAGGTGGTATACATGCAGATCTTCAGGTCTAGCTTAGGTTGCAGGTGCAGCCTAATGGATGCAAAATGGAATTCCAGTAGCAGTGAACACTTAGACAGAGATTGGATGCAGATCATAATTTTACTATACTATTGCTTTTCATGCGTGTGGGTTTTTACTAGCAGTACATTCCTAATGAGTTGAATTATGCATTTTAAATATTGAATGTATACACCAGCTTAGTCATTCAAGATCACCTTCTGCATTTAAAATCAGAAAAAAGTTTAAAAAAAAAGTATATTTTGAATTTTCTTTCAGTCCTTAACCTTTTATGTGATTACTTGAATAAAAAAATGTGTTTTAAATTGTGAAATTTGAGTGGACAGGAAAATTGATCTTTAAAAAGCCTTTTCAATCTCTACAGTTTCACAAGACAAAGGCAGGATTAGTGTAGCTATTTTGATAACCTGACAGCCTTTCTGKAGCAGATACTTGAGTGATTTTGGTCTTCTTCCACAGGTTTTCAATACATACTCCAATGAAGACTATGACAGGAGAAATGATGAAGTTGACCCGGTGGCTGCATCAGCTGAGTATGAACTTGAAAAGCGTGTGGAAAAGTTGGAGCTTTTCCCAGCTGAGCTAGAAAAAGGTACGTAGTGTCTCCTATAAAACTGATCTACAAATCTTTTAAGAAAAAGTCCACTTACCTCCAGAGTGTATCTTGAATTCCCATGAATCCAGTGTGTTTAACTTGACTTTTTGGATTCCGTAGGTGTTCCGTAAGGAATTGGGAACGTCACTGAAAGATGTACTTTTTTTTTTTTTTTTTTAAGAAAAATGCTTTTTGTTACTCTTTTCACACATGATTTCACACAGTATTTCCTCTGATGTTTTTGTTCTCCGCTGAAAGAATATCAATCTTGGTTAGTTTTTCTAGGTTTCCTGTAATATTAGAGATTATGTATTTTTTGTTCATAATTGTAAGGGTTGATTGTTAATGGTTTTAAACAGAAAAAGAATTAAGTTTATTGACCTGCAAAAATAAAAAGAACCAGAACCAACATGTTTATATAAAAAATGTCTATATAAATTAAATGCAAATTTCTGCTTTTGCTTGCCTTTTTCACAGATGAAGATGGACTTGGCATAAGCATTATTGGAATGGGAGTTGGAGCAGATGCAGGCCTTGAAAAACTGGGAATATTTGTCAAAACAGTAACTGAAGGTGGAGCAGCAGAAAGGGATGGCAGGTAAACTAGATTTAATATTTATCAATTTTCCCAACAGCAATTATTATGAATTATGATTTTCTCAGAGTTCTTAACTTAATGTATGTCATGATAAGTCAAAGCTGTAAAATTCTGAGACTGAAATATTATGGCCCTAATACCTGATGTGATTATGAAAAGACACTAGTTTTGTGAACTTGCTTAAAACTGTTTAAAGATTTCAGATTTGCCAATAATTTGTGCTTGAGTTCCTAAAAATCAGGATGCTTTCATGTGAGTATTTGTAGACAACAAATCCTGCATCATTTTTGGAAGTACTTGTCATGAAGATGTCACAAATCTATCCATTACTTCAAATCAAAGCAAAAGTTTTTCTGAAAGCTGTGCCTGAGCTCAGCCAAAAGGCCTTACACACACTACTGGGATTCTCTGTGAAATTCCTGGTAGAAAATCAGAGTAGCTCATAACTGTTGTATTTGACAGGCCATGTTCTGATGATCTGTATTTGCTGTTCCTCTCATTACTCACRTATTTGAGAGGGCTGCAGAGTTCAGAACACTAGTTTCATCTTTCATTTCCCTAGATGACATCTCGAAGGAGCTTGTCAGCCAGAGAAAAAATGCATTTCTTTAACCATTCTGATTTTGCCTTGGTTTTCAACTGGCTGAAATGTTCAGTCAGCTGAGAAATAGCTCTCTGATTTTCTCTTTGGGAGTCTGGCTGATGATTGACTTGAGGAAGTGATATGTAATACTCTCAGGCAGGAACAGCTGATTATCTAATGAAGTGCATCAACTGTAAAAGGTCCTGTTAACTAAACCTCRCTAATCATTAACAATGAAACCAAAACCAAAGTTTTGTGACAGAAAATAAAACTGTATTTCAGCAGTTGCATCAGATATTCTCAATAACTCCATAGGTGTCTTCAGGAAAGATCTCTGAAGCTACAATTTTAAACACGACAGTATTTGTAGAAAAACTCCAATTTTCTGTGGCAAGACCCATCAAATTGTGATATAATATACTTCCCTCATACGGCAGCTCAAAGTCTGTACAAAGGGGCTTCTCAGTGACTCAGCACCATATTCTTGATTCATGTTGGTGCAGGCAAATAGGTATTGTTCAGTTGTCATATCAAAGGCATTGCACAGCAATATTTAACCAAGGAGGGATGCTTTGAGACAAGTCCAAATTCAAGCAAGTTGATAAGTAATAAGAAACAGTGTAAATAGTGTGTAGAATATAAAATCAATCGTGAGGCTGAATATGAAAAACAAGATCTTTTCTTGAGTAAATGGATAGAGTAAATCACTTTTCAAATGATTAGCCAAAACAGATGCTACTGGGGATGAGTCATTTCAAAGTGTTTTGATAGCAATTTATCTGAGAACGACTGCTTTGAAATATTACACAGTTCTCAACTTTAATGTAAACTTTGCCTCCGCACAAGTTATATTTCCCAGTCCACCATGCAGAACAATAACCATGTTAAGTAATTTATTCAATTTTATTTGGTTTACTTGTACAGCTGCTAATTCGTAGAATTGCTCTTTCACATAGGCAGAGGTTTAAAATATGGCTTTTAGAGAAGAATTATCAGAACTATTGATTTCRTTCATGATAAAAGCAGTTAATCCTTTATAACTAAGATTTCTCAACCTGAGTTGATTTTTTTTCTTGTTTGAAATCATTTTGCTCTAGATATTGTTACTCACTTGAAATAGTAATGTCAGACTTCTACATCTGACTGCCACATCTGAACTGGAAAAAAATGTGAGGATGGAATCAAGGTTTGTAAAAATTGGTGAAAATGTAGCTAATAATCATCCCATATTTTCATTTGTATCATTAAATTACCTTTAAATTTTTAGGTGGAAGGATGATGCTGCCTTTTGAAAACCAGTTTAGCAAGTGACATTTTTGCTTTTCCTTTTGTCCTTTACTACTGCTGATTTAGTATAGATGATGACCTGTGTGCAGTATCCGCTCCTAAGCTGATAAAATAATTTTGACAGTTGTCCCCAAAATCCCAGCTTAGCACAAAGAAAAGGGCAGAAAAATATTCACTATGTGAAATAGAGCTTGAAATATTGTATTGGATATTTTTAATACATTCCAAAGGCTGTAGGTCATTATCTATTACAGTTTTCATTAATGGAAAAAAACTTACAACTTAAGAAAAGATTTTAAACGTTAAGACACACAGTTAAGCGTTGAAGGCCAAAACTAACTTTTGCCTCCGTGTATTACAATTGCAGAGGCAAAGCAAATACTTGTAGTTGTAAATGAAGTGTTACGTGGCAACGATGACATCTGTGCACAAATAGCTAATTTGTATGCATAATTAGGATAATTKTACAATCAATTCACACAAGCAGATGTGCATGCATATTTTTATATATTAATTTCCAGAAAAGCCAGTTGGAGAAATGGAGAYGAGTCAAAAGCATTAGATATTGTGAAATTTACTGACCTTCATTAGGTTCTGGATTATTCCTAAGCACAAAAATGCTGTTATGGCTGAGAGGACGAGAAAGGCTCAAGTTCCAGTTGAAGTGGGGCTTGAAAGCAGATCCCAAGGACAAGGAAGGTCATCTGGAGAACTGGGCTGGGTCTCCACCAGGTCTTCCCGGCCTGCGGAAAGGCGAGGGGCTGCCTCCAGGYAGGAAAGTGCAGAGCTGCAGCAGGGCTGGGAAGGGGCTGCCCAAGGCAAGGCCACCACAGGAGCTTTGCTGCGAGGGGGTGTTAGGCTGGCTCTGGTCCTGCTCAGGCCTGGGCCTCAGGGGACCGTCAGGGCTGAGAGAGCGAGAAAGCCCAGAGGTGCTCGGTGATGGGGCCAGACAGGGGCTCCCGAGGGAGAGAGAGAGCTGCCAAGGGAATGTGGCCGTGGGAATACGTGCGGAACGTACGTGGCAACAGATAGGACGTGTCTTTTTGACTTAGATGTAATTATATGACTTAAAGAATTTGAATTGTCTGTTGCATGATATATGCACATGTTTATATGTAATTAAAGCATGTGTGTGTATAGAAAGAGAGGCTGTTTGGATGGCAGTGGCCATCAACAATGAGAGTTGTGCATGATGAGTAAGAAAGAAGGAGATGCAAAATACACCTGTAGGACTAACAGAATCCAGTCGGTTCCAAGTGATGAAGGTGGAGCCATCTCCAGAGGTGCAGGCAGTGATTTTCTGCATTCACATTTCATCATCCAAAATGCCGTAACYGTCTGTTACAGCTACCAATTCACTGCATAATGAAGTATGCAAAACACTGTAGCTAAAACTGCCATCGGAATGGACTGAAACTCTGATCTTCTGCCACTTTTAGTTCTCAGGCGAGAGAGCRACAACTTCCTGCTTAGTGGGCATCAACTTCTTAAATGACTTTTCTTGAAAACTTGTGGCCATTTGACTGCAACTCATGCTTGGTTATTAACAATAATACTAAATTTTGTAGAGTCCAAATATAATAACCTAGCAGATGTTTTTATTAAATATTTCACTTAAATTTGAAATAGGATTTTGAGATTAGAATGCCTGATACATTTTTCAAGATACGCACAAAGACTGTCATAAAGATAATTCTTTCAAGTTTTTTTATGTACCAAAGAGAAATAAATGCTCTGTTAGTTTGTGCCCAGACTACAGTGGCATTGTGTTCTGAAGGTGCCAAGCAGTAATTTTGATAGTTGTTCTCAGCAGTGGAGTTGAAAATGTTGCTTGAATGCATGTAGAGCTGCAACATATTTTGTCAGACTTGACAGTGAAATTGGTGCTCCAAGTCAAAACGCTTCAGCAGCCCTTTGAATCCTGTTGTGCTGTTGAGGTTTCTCTTTGCAATGTGTAGGTAGAAAAGAAATTGKAGCACTAAGATATCCTAAGTTGTCTTGGATATAATTAAGCTGCTTTACCATCATAATTTAAATGGGATTTTACATGGGTATTTTTTGGATGTCTTTGTAGACTGTATGGTTTGAATAAATCACATTCATGTAATGCTTGAAAATTACTTTATTTGACTAATTCTGAATGGTGTTTTTTGGTTTTCAAAACCATAAGAGTTTGTGTATTTCTAGAGAAAATGTTAATATAGCAGTCCTTCTTACAAGCACTGGCAATCCCAGTGATTCTAATGCCAGCTCCAGAGATTCCATCTCACTGCCTATTGGAGATAAAAGCAGCTTTTTTATTTACCTTCTGACTTTTTATGCATAAAACAGTGTATCTACAGCAATTTTTGTGTTTAAGAGATAATATTTGTTAGAACAGTCCCAGAACTTATTGTTTTTACTGCATGCCCAAGTCCACTTCTATATTGCTGGGCAAGTTAGATAAAAATTTTTAAGAGAGTAGGTCATAATTGTCTGATGCACAAACCCTTTTCCCTGAAGAGGAGCAGATTGTTTTAGTTAAATACCTTATTTTTCCATTACTGTGAAATACCAGAACTTCATTTTATGCTGTTTTTCAAGATGGGCTTAGGAAAGGATGATATGGGAACTCTTCAGGCATGTCATCTTAGATAAGTGGTATAGCAAACTCAAGACTAATAAATATTACAAATATTCTTGGAATATTTATATGCAAAGAAAGTGCCTTGGTGATTGATGCAACTAATTGTAATGGTAACTCTGAAGTTGTATTTATAGGATATCTATGTATAAGCTATGATACATTTTTCATTCCTTCATTGCTAGTATTTCCTAGCTTTTACCAATATTGGTTTGGAAGCTACAATTCCAATTCAGGGAGAAAACATCTTTTGCTTTGTTTTGCCTGTTGTTTACCTGAATCTTTTGATTTGAAAGAGTAAAATCAAATAAAATTCCTGTATGCCGTGCTTCAAAATCACACCAAGAAATCCCTAAATTACTTTWTATATATAYATATATGTATTTTTTTTTTCCTTTCAAAGGATCCAAGTGAATGACCAAATCGTGGAAGTGGATGGCATCAGCCTGGTTGGTGTTACACAGAATTTTGCAGCAACCGTTCTTAGAAACACCAAGGGGAAAGTCAGGTAAGTGTATTAAAAGAAAAATAGTTGTGGTTGAACACTCAAGATTCTTTGGTTTCTTTCACAGCCTGCCTTAGGTAGGACCAGAGGTTTGTTGAACTCTTTGTACCTTTTGTGCTTTTACATCAGGACATGGATAAACTTTGGTTTTACAGTGTTTTTATTTTGTTTTAGATTTTTAAAATAAGACTGTAAGTAAGAAGCAGCTGAAATGACACACACAGAAAGATTCTCAATGAGTATAAGCTGTTCAATCCATTTTGACCAAAAATACTTATTTCAGCTGACATTGTTAGCCATATTGCAGTTACTCCATCGCCGATGGCTTGGAGCCCTCCACACATTTATACCAGCGAGACTGGCCCAGTTAACCTGCAGCTGAGCTCTCTGAGAGCATTGAGCTCTCAGGTGCCAATCCTGCACACAGAAGAAGAGAGAACTGGATGCAATAGTGTTGGGAGCTGCTGATTTGAGGAGAGTTACAATTAGCTCTTAATTCACTGAGCTCTTTGATTCCCTGTACTGTCTCTGGGTATTTGCCTCTTTGCTCCTGTGCTCCAGGTAACTGAAAGGCATCACTGCAGCTAACTATAAAATACTAGACAGGCCAGCAGTGTAAAATACATTGCAAATAAAATCCTCTATGAATATAGACACAGGATTTTAAGACACTTATGAATGAATAACAGTACCTATAATCTCAAAATGAACTCTTTTTACCATGTGAAAATGTATACATCAACATTGCTTTTCTGTGTAATAACATGGCAATTTCAGTGAAGACTTAACACTGCAAAAAATCTACAAAAATATTTTGACATACTGCAATGTAGCAGCCTTTTGTTAGTCACTCTTTGATTCTCTTAAAATCCTCCGTGGTGAAAACAATTGAGTCCTTTAGTTAATGAGAGTTTGGGGCTGTCTTTGTTTGACCATGACTGAACTATTCCGTGCAGCAAGGTCAGGTCCCTTCTGGCTCTGGTGCTGGTGGGGCAGCGTGTGCCTTGCACAAGAATTTCATAGCTCTTCTCACACAACATTAAGGGATAATTTTGGAATACAGATTCAGCAAAGTTTCTTGGGTGTGATTGATCAAGATTTTATTTGAAAGAGATTATTTAGGAGAAAAACATTTGGGAATTGTAGAGCCGTTACTGGTAAAATACTTTCGTGTAACATTTGTACAGTTTTCTTTTGTCGGATTCACATGGGCTATGAATATTGCTACTGCACTGGCTATGAAGATAAGAACATATTTAATTAAGCTTTTGCATATTTAGGACTTAGGAACGTAAAATTCTTGTGACAGAGGAAATACCTTGCCGTGTGTTGGTACACAAAGCAAAATGTTATGTTTGCCTTCTGTTTGGTATCTTAGCTAAAAATAAAAACCGTTTCATAAAACATAACATACACCTTATRTACATTTATAATCAGCTTAGTTATTGTAGTGATTATTGAATAAATTATGGGATAGATTCTGGTTCCCTGGAAGAATAATGGATTTGGAGGAAGGAAGAAACACAAGAAGATGTTCATGCAGRATGCTCCCAGATTCTTGCTTTGGTGTTTAAATTATAGTCAGACTGGTTGTGGTCTAGACCCTTTTGTCATAAAATAGTATTCTGTAAGAAGCATTGCTTGCCTGTTGTTCAGCTCACATTGTCAAGTGCAGTCTGTATCCTGTGGCAAGGATCATTGGTTTCTGACAGATCTCATTTATCAAAGAGAGATGTGTGATTTTTTTTTTATGTTTTTGCTCGTAAATAGGCTTAAGATATTGAGCTTTCACCTAAAAAATGACCAAATGCATTAGTATTGTAAATGGATAAAGAAATCATTTAAATAATGTTTATGTTACTATTGTTAGATGAGAATCTGTATGCACCCTGGCATATAGTGTGTTTAACAACCTTTGTCTAATGCATGTTTAATCCGAGGGAAAGGGGAGTAGAATGTGGTGCAGCTTCCCCTTGTTGCTTTGTGTAAAATGTCATTAAAAAAAACTCCTACGTTTTACATAGGGCAGATGAGAAATGTGTGATTTTTTTTAGCAAYTTGCAATAATAAGTTGGGAGTGACATGTGAAGATACTGCTAAGAAATCTGTGTCGTAGGCAGCCTGTCCATGGTTTCTGGTCAGATCCTAAGTGGATGAGTCTGTTGTCTAATATTCTGCTGACACTGATTAATTGTGTTTGATTTTGACTACTTAAAATCAGAAGTGCATCCAGAAAACATTATTCTTTGAAGATATGATGCTGGGGCTCTGCTTAGAGCTAATTGTTTGCTTGTTAGATAGGTCAGCTGGAGCTAAGATTGATGTACTAGCTTATAAAAGAAAATTGCCTATTTATGCATTGCTGTTTTTCTGTTACTGTACTGCATAAGGTCCCTGACCTCGGCTTGCTTGGTAGAGCGAGTGGCGGCTYTCTGCAGAGCCTCTTGCCCTGGTTACACCTGCTGCTGTGCAAAGCCCTGCCATCCTGCACCCCCTTTGACTGACAGCAATCGCAGCCCGACGAGATCTGCAGGGACAGAATCACTCCCTCATCCCCAGCCGTTAATTCCTGCCCACTGGAAGTGTAAAGAGCAGGGAGGTTGACCTTTGAGTGCCGTCATTCCCCGTGGCAGCTGCCATTGATGATCCACATCACCCTGGGAAGCAGGAGGAGCAGAAAAGGTTGCCCCTTGGGACTTTTGTGGAGAAGCAGCTACCAGTAGCCTGCTATATAAATACTCCCTACCTCTCCTGCTGTGGGAGATCCCATCTGATCTACATCCCATCTGAGCTACAAATCTCTTAGTAATGTACAACTGTAATCCCAGATTGGATTTAAAACAAGGCAAATTCTGAAATCACATCCCTGTTTGCACGTGTGCTGTTTAATAGAGTWCTGATAAAATTATTGTGTGCATTGCAGTGTCAATTTCGCAGATTTTATACAATTATTTTGTATATATAGTTGTTTTTGTGATTGTAGAGTATACCCTTCTTCTGTCTGGCATGCTGCACACGTCGAGATTTGTGTGCATCCCCCTGGCATTGCTCCTGCGTAACTCTCAGCATTATTCACAGTTGTCTTTATCTCATAATGCAGTCAAAGCATGTGCTAGACTCCGTAGCAAGGTTCGTACATGATCAGTTGCAAGGAGAGGATGATCATGAAGGCAGTGACAGTAAAGCTGCTGCYGAATTCTTTGCAGTAAATGCACTATCTCTTCAGCATGCTTGCATTAATACTGGTGCCTAGTGGTGTATTTTTCTCCTCTGAGGCTTCTGAACACTTTTGAATGATTCTGACAGTGGAAGTCATTGACCTAGAATAGATTTTGCAATGTTTCTGCCAGAAAAAATGTATCTGAACTGKCTGTAGCTGACATAGTAAAGAGAAAATGAGAGCATGACTTTTACCTTTTGAACTGTTCTAGTTCAGGGTGAGAGGAAAAAAAGCCTTAAACAGCAAATATAAGCCCATATTTTATCTGTTGTTGACTACTGAATTCAGAAGAGTTGCCATAACCTAATGAAAACTCATGGATCTGACTAGTTTGGGTTCTCTAGGAATGAAGAATTCTTTCCTTCTTTCATACTAACATGTGATGTTTTTTAGGAAGATAATCGGCACTAACCAGATGTACTCTGCTATCCCAGGAGACAAAGAAGGGAGAGGGAATTCCTCTGCAATCCCAACTGTCGATCAGCCTCTGTCATCAGGGATGAGAATTAGTATCCCCCTGACTTTAATCTGGCAATACAACTATGAATGCCCTGTCAATTTATGTAAATATCAAATCTTCTTTATAATCTTACTTAGCTACTTAGCTTCCTGATGTCTTGTCTTAGTGAATTTCACTATTTGGGTTATATACGGGAGGAATTTTCCTTTGAAATACATTTTGTTTTTCAGTTTTGTTCTGTGTCCCCTCCCTGCTCTCAGATTAAAGGATCAGTMAGAGGGCAGCACCAGATTAATATCTCTAATTGTAGTGTGCTTTCTCTGACCCCATTTAGGACCTAATGCTTCAACCTGAAGTGTACGAGTGCTTCCTCTTACCATCCGAGATAAGAGTAAAGAGGCAGTCAGACAGTCCTGTTGTGGATCTTCTGCTGTGCTGTTTTGTCTGGTAGCTTCATATRTCCTCATTAATTGTTGCGCTGAGTAGAAAACACACAGTTCTCTGAAGTTACCTGGGTGATCATGAGATTATGTGATCCCACTTTTCCCCTTTGTTCTGCCTCATAATGAGTGGTGTTACGGGTCCTAATGTCTTTATCAGAGAAAAGTCACTTGGAGAATTGTTGTCTCCAGGAGATTTTATGTTATCCCAAACACACTCACAAGATGGAAAACGTTGTCATTTTGCCCATAACTACCTAGTGTCCACCCATGCTACTTTTGACAGATTTTGAAGCTTTCAGTGGCATGTGGAAAATGATGGAGCAGCTGTAATTGGGGGAAAGTGGGAGTTTTGGGTCTTTACATGTCTGCCTCACTGGGTGCAAAAACTCAGGCCCGTGCAGCTTTGGGAACCAGAGTATCCCAAGAAAGGACTGGGTCCCAGGAATCATGTTGGGTTGACATTACAAAAGGGGCTTACATGAGAGAGAGAGATTCATCTGAACATCTCAGTCTTCCATACACTCTTCATATGCTCTTATCATTATCATTTTTCTCTGAAAGKTTTTGTTGAGAAAGTTGACTGAACTCACTGTTTTACCACTGGGCAGGCAGATTTTAAATTCTACCCTTAAATTTCCCATATCTTTGTCTTTTGAACGTGACCAAGCATTCTGTCAGCTTCCTGAGCTGTTGCTAGGCACTAACCAGCTTTTCTCGTGGTGCTTTCTCAGTGAGTTCTTGTTTATTTTTCGTGACACCACACAGAACCTGTGCAAATCTTGGTATTATTTCTCATGACTCGCCTCACCTTGAAGTTAATTATATTGATTCTAATCTATATGTGGATTTAGAYGTTTCTCTGTTTAATTAAACTCCCCTA